TGCGGTGGCCGGGAGCGGCCACTGCACTCCAGTCTGGGTGACAGAGTGAGACTCCAACTTAAAAAATAAAAATAAAAAAAAGATGGGCATGGTAGCCATGCACCAGCAGTCCCAGCTACTTGGGAGTCTGAGGCAGATGGATCACTTGAGCCTGGGAGTTTGAGGTTGTGGGGAGCCACAATTTTGTCACTGCAAAAGAAAAAAAGCACTCAGAAAAAAAAAATCACAAACCTGTAGGAAGGCATTATCTATATCTAGGAAGTGGAAGTAAATTACTGTATATCTGCATAAATTAGCAATTCAAAAAAATTGGTTCAGGAAAAAACTTGAACATCTTGATTTAAATTCGTATTCCGTAAGAAAGCAAAAAGTTTTTTAAAAATCCAGTAATGAATAACTCGGATAAAAGCTTTCCCTCGTACTTAATAGCCACAGTTTTCTATTTAAAAAAAAAAATTTTGACTTTTCATGTTTTAATTGGTCTGGGAAATTAAGACTTCCCCCACCTTACACAGGAGAGAATTCAATCATTGTATAGCAGAAGTACTACCTATATAATGTGGGTGTGCCTTTTAAGAAATGTTGCCTTTTCATCCAGTTGTAAGATGCAGATACACAAACCCCATGGGATATGCTCAAAATCACATCCAACAAGCGCCTATGTAAGTGCTTGTGGGAATTAATGTAGATCACTGAAACTGGAAACTCAAAGCTTACAATAACTACGACTGTCCTGAGCTATAAATCTAAGAAATTACGGCAGCAGGTCAAGTTTCACCAATAATGACTGCCTTTAAAAGTCTATATATGTGGACCTTTCCAGCAACCCAGGCAAGGGTCTTTTTAGACTATCAGGAGCAGTGTCGGAGTTCTGACATTAAAAAAAAAAAAAAGTCGTTGCAAACGTACAGGGAGAGAAAGGTGTTTAATAGCGCGCTAGCAGCAAAGCATTGTACGACCCCAAGCACGTGGGTGCTTGCTGCCGGTAGTCTCTTCGCCATAGGGCAGGGAGATGCGTATAGGACCCTTCCTGGGGTACCGGGGTGTTCGGTCCCGAATTGCTCGGCCCAATCTGTGAGTCAGCAACTGCGAGAGGAGGAAGCAACCGTAGGTGCCAAAAGGAAGACGCCCCTCACCCTCCTTCCTTCCAATCTAGGGTACGATTACTGTAAAGCAGGGAGCAAAAGGGCACTCGTCACGGCCCCACAAGTCCCAGACCTAGTCGCCAGGGTGTAGGGTAGAGAGACCCAGGGTCGCCGAGGGAGAGGATTGAGGCAGGGGCGGCTGAGATGGGACGGAACCGGGGTTGGGTGGGCACTTACCAGAGGTCAGAGTGTGGCTGATGGCGGTAACCTGGCCGTCCACGGCGCTTGGCAGGAGCAGCATGATGGCGCCCGGTCTAGACCCGCGGGCACAGCGGCTCACGTCCCGGGCGGAGGGCACTTAGCGTCCCCTCCAGTTCTGCCTTCCAGTCCGAGCCTCGCGCCTTGGCTCTACGACGCCCGGGAGCCGGCGCATGGAGACGACCAGAAAGCACTTCCGGGATGCTCTTTGCGGTCGCCAAACCCACTCCCAGGCGCCCTCGCCAACGTGTGCGACAGCCTAGTCCCTCGCTAACTCAGATCCGGCTGGAGATCAAGACGCACGAAAGAATGGTTCCTACACGCAAGAGTTTTTCTGTAAAAAGGATTATTTTCTCCGTCCTGGTGCAATACGTAGAACTGACTTTTTAAAAGCAGTTCCTTTAATATTCTTATCTTTAAGTTTCTACTACTTTATATATTATCCTGCACCTAACCAATGATTTTCCCCAGTAGCTCTACTTATATAAATAAAAAAATGAAAAGACGTATATGAACTAGTATCGACAATTACTAGTATAGTACAGTCATAGAGAATGTACTATAATTATGTACGTATGCCTGTGATACATTTGTTTACCTTAATAATAATAGGAGCTATTATTATTAAGCTATTGTTGTGCTATTACTAAGTAATTTACCTGCATTATCTCTTTTAATACTCATTTGGAAAAGGAACCTCTCTCATATTTAGATTCTGTTGCAAGGCCAGAAATCTTTTTAATTTGCTTTAATGGAATGCAGTTTTCTTTCAAGATAGTCTCAGTTACAGGACTCTGGAACTTAATTTTTTAATGCATAGTAAGAGCCATTGTAGTCCTACTGTACGCTTCCTACTAGGACTGAGGTCAAAAGCAAAAATGAGTGAAAGGAAACCAGTGGGCAAAGGCACACTTCCAAGGGCTGTATCCGGAACAGGTTGAGCAAAATAAACTTGATGTGCCACTCTTTGACAAGAAGCCCTAGACATTAGTAAATTATTCATTAGAGGTTACATTTTCACTATTAAATACATTTAATTAGTCGGTATATTTGCTGCATGACAAAAATTCACTTCAAAAATGACATTTCAAACACAACTAAGCCGGGCGGTGGCTCACGCCTATAATCTCAGCACTTTGGGAGACCAAAGCGAGAAGATTGCCTGCACCTAAGTGTTGGAGACCAGCCTGAGCAACTTGGTGAGACCTCATCTCTACAATGAACCAAAAAAAAAACACAAAAACAAAAATTAGCTGGGTGTGGTGGCACGTACCTGTGGTTCTAGCTACTTGGGAGTCTGAGGCAGAACAATCGCCTGAGCCCAGTAGGTCAAGGCTGCAGTGACCAGGAGCATGCTACTGCACTCCAGCCAGGGCAGTAGCAAAACTACTTAAAAAAATAATGTGCTAAAATATACATAATGTGAAATTTACTATCGTCACCATTTTTGAGTGCACGATTCAGTAATGTTGTGCAACCAATCTCTTGGATTCTTGTTTGTTTGTTTGTTTGTTTTTTTGAGTCGGAGTCTCACTCCGTCGCCCAGGCTGGAGTGCAGTGGCATGTTCACAACCACTTTCCAAGTAGCCGGAACCACAGGCGTGCGCTACCACATCCAGCTAATTTTTGATTTATTGTAGAGATAGGTCTCGCCAAGTTGCCCAGGTTGGTCTCGAACCCGCCGACTGAGGCAATCCACTCGCCTTGGCCTCTCGAAGTGCTGGGATTACAGGCTGAGCCACCGAGCCCGTTCTTTATTATTATTATTTTTAAAGGGTGATGGAGTCTTAATTAACAGTCTCACTGCAGAGAGCCAGAGAGTATGTGATAGCAGCGTTAGGAAGAAGCCCTAGCCTAGCTTCTTCCAAAACCCTTTTTATCTTGCAAAACTGAAGCTCTGTATCCATTGAATAACTCCCCATGGGCCATCAGGCTTCTTTCTGTCTCTGGGAATTTGACAACTCCAGGTACCCTATATAAGTGGGATGATGTATTTGTCTTGTGACTGGGTGTATAACCTAGCATAATGCCTGAATAGTATTTCACTGCATGTATATGCTACATTTTTAAAATCCATTAATCTGTAGATGGACACTTGGGTTACTTCCACATTTTCCGTTGTGATGGATGCTGCTTATGTACATGGATGTACATAGATATCTCTATGAGACCCTGTTTCCAATTCTTTGGGTATATACCCAGAAGTGGAGTTGCTGGTTCATATGGTAATTCTATTTTGACTTTTCTAAGGAATTATCACAACATTCTCAGAGCAGTTGCAACATTTTCCGATCTCATCAACGGTGTGCAAGAATTCCATTTTCTCCACAACCTTTCCAGGATGTATTTCCTATTTTTTTCTTATAGTAGCTATCCTAAAGGGTGTGAGGTGGCATCTATGATTTTGATTTGCATTTCCCTAACAGTGGTTTTGCTCATCTTTTATGTGTTTGTCGGTCATCTGTACATCTTCTTTGGAGAAATGTCTATTCAGATTCTTGGCCCATTTTAAAAAGCAGGTTGTTTTCTTGTGGAGTTGTAGTTCTTTATGTATTCTGAATATTAACTTCTTAACAGAAACATAGTACCTTCATTCTATTTGTAGATCTACTCTTTACTTATTGTATGTCTAGTATGACATATTTTACAAATACTGTCAGGTTTCCGTCTCGCGGGTAATGAATTCAAAACCAAGACCAGGGCGCCAACGCGATTTCTCCAGCGATCTGTTCGCCTCTCACTCGCGACGTAAGGGGGGACACGCAGAGCCCGGCTGCACTTCCGCTGGGGAAGGGAAAGGGAAGACACCACCGGAAGCAAGGAAGGTGCTGTGTAATCACTAAGGAGCTGAGGCACTTGGATCTACTAAAAATGCCGGATTACCTCGGTGCCGATCAGCGGAAAACCAAAGAGGATGAGAAGGACGACAAGCCCATCCGAGGTTAGTTGACATGGCAGGAGCTCGGAGCCGGGGCGGGACAAGCGTTGACACTGGAAAGAGCTGGATTCTTGCCCCCGGCTCTGCTCTTGCCCTTTGTACCCCTAGTGATTTTAGCCTGGACGCCAGCCAGGTCAACCTATTTGCCTTCTCTCTCTCATCCCACGACAGGTTCTACATTCATATCCTCCTGATGGAAATTTTTATTTATTCTCTGCTTTCGGGTCTTGAAGAAGTCATTCACGCTGCTTGGCCGTACAGGCCTTGTATAGTTCCTCAGCCTGGCCGTGTTTGGTCACCTGATACTCTTTCCTGACCTCCCGCTTCCCACAAGTACGACAACTTGGTGATCTCTGTGTAGCCAGAATTCCGAGACGTACTTTTCATTTTAAAAAACAAAACAAATTAGTTGATTCAATAATACAAGGCTCATAACTCAGGAAAAGATACATTAAAAAGCCTCCTACCCTTCGCCCCAGCCACCAACTTCTCGGGGGAGGAAATTAATATTGCCATTTTGCCTATCTTTATATATATATAGGCAGTCCTCTCGCCTCTGCTTTCCAAAGTGCTGAGATTCCAGGCATGAGTGACCGCACCCTGCAATATTATTTGTTTTTCAACAAATAATGCTCAGAAAGAGCAAATAAAAACTTTTTCCAAGGTTGCCTGGCAAATACTCAGAAAGAGCAAATAAAAACTTTTTCCAAGGTTGCCTAGCAAATACATGACCTTTTAAGGCCTAGCACCCAGGTTGTCAAAGCCCTTTTTTCTTTTGACTCCCTATTCTTGTGTCACATCATTTTGGGGTCTTCAGGAGTTATGTTGATGATCTTTGATCACCTCAATTCTGGTGAATCCCATCGTTACTGCACCTCAGCCACCTAAGGAGATGTTCACAATTAGAGACTTTATCGTTAAAGGAAACTGCTTCACTTCTAAAATATCAAACTTTCCATTTTTTCTCCCATCACAACTTTTTGCTCTTCAGTCTCCATTACCACTGAACCTTAACCTGATCGGTCTCTTGATGTTTCTAATTTGTATCACCTCCAATCTGGTTCCCTGCTCATACTATTTTCTTTTTCCCACAGTGCACTTACTATCTACTATCTTTGCTCATTGCACTTTTAGCTTTCTCCTTTGTAATTCTAAGAAGTTTCATTGTTTCTTCTTTTTCTGCTAATAGGCTGCCAGCATTGTTCAAACAAGTCACAAAACCATACTGATTAAGTTACTTCCAGTTTAAGCTTTCCATTCTCAAGTACCTAATTGCTGATTAGCATTTTTTGACTCTCCTATTGACTCCACTTGGTTTGACACTGTGTTTATTTCAAGCCTTTTAAAGGTTTCTCAAGTTCTCAGTTCAGTCTCTTAATTCCTGACTGATGACTTTTGGCTCTCTGCTGAGGAGACTGAGAATCCACCCAAGAGTTCTCTTAACTTCTCCATCATCTTCCATTTTTTGTCAAGTCTAACTTTCCTATCTGTGTTCCTGACCTTATCTCTTCCTCCTCTGGGACTTTGCTTCATCAGTCACCAGCTTACCTGCTTGTTTTCCTAGAGTTTTTTCCTTTTGTTCTTGTAAATATGCTAACGTCCATTTTTATCTTAAAAACACATAGTTGAGAAAATCTTTGTACTCTCCTAACCTCTCAAGCTACAATTCATTTTCCTTTTTTTCTTTCCCTGCCTAAAGGTGAAAGGATAGGTTGGGGAGTCAGAAAGACCTAGGCTTGGCTTTGCTTTGTCCATTCTCACACTGGCTGTTTGATAATGGACAAGCCACTTAAATTCTGTGAAATTTAGTTTATCCTGTCTGGAATGTGAAAATAATTATATTCACTTTACAAGCTTATATAGGATTAAATAAAATAATCTATATGTATTTCTTAATCACAGTGTACCATACAGTGATTATCTCAATAGTTATTACTATTATATCCACTGTGTACATTTCTTTACTACTTAGTTTCTTTTTTTAAACCCCTTGCAGTTTGGTTTTTGTCACTATAAATCTGTTGAAGCAGATCAGTGTTTTCTTAATTTCCACGTCTTTAGTATTTTGTCAGTCCTAGAGTTTTTGTCATTGCTGAGCCTTTCATTAAGGCTCCCATTGTTTCTTTGAACCTTCCTGTTTATCTTCCTTTTTTGACTACTCTTTCCTTTATTCTGTCCTCACTTGATTTTGTTTATGTTAATTTCATCCATTCTTATCCTGAACTGCCTTTTCTCTATATATACTTACCTAGTCAATCTTGCTGGCACTTGAACTCTAGAGTCAGATATCTCTCTGCCTTCTAGATTGCGTCATCAGGATATACCAGTGTATTGGAGAGTTCCCAGGACTACCTTCAGGTTTAATAACTCACTGAGAGTATTCACAGGACTTAGCATATAGATGTACTCATGACAATGGTAGAGTGAAAGGATACAAAGCAAAATCAGCAAAGAGAAAAGGCACATGGGGCAAAGTCCAAGAGAAACATGGCACAAACTTCCAAGAATCCTCTTCTGGTAGAGTCACCTAGGATGTGTTTAATGCCAGCAACAAGTTGTGACAACCTGTAAAGTGTTGCTAACCAGGGTAGCTTGTTAGAGACTTGGCATCCAGGGTTTTTATTAGGGACTGGACAAAGTAGGCAATTTTGCAAAGCACATATCAAAATTCCAGACTCCTAGAAGGAAAGCAGGTGTTCAGCATAAACCATGTATTTTGTACAAACAGTTTAGGCACAGTGAATCACTTTTATCAATTCTGGGAATGATGAGAACCATCAGAAATTTGTGTTCTCAAACACAGCCAACAACCAACTTTGTAATAAGACCTGTCAAAGGATAGCAGTCATGACTGCTGTATTTTTTTCTGCACAGGTAGCAGTGCCACAAACTTAACAAAATTAACATTGAACTTGGTATCTCCCTCTGCCAACCAGTTTCTAGTGTGATTCCTCTATTTCTGCTAGAGGGTACCACCTTCTTTTGAGGTACCTAGGTGCAAAGCTAGGGCATCATGCTTGATTCTGTCTCCCTCAGCTCTTCACTTTTAGTCATTTGTCATGATCTGTAGAGTCTTCCTCTGAGGACTTTTTATCTACCACTTCCTTTCTCTTTTTACTGCCGCCACCGTGTGTAATGTTCTTGTGACTTCTAACTCACCTCACATACTCCAGTCTGTTCTTCATACCTTAGTGAGCAAATTCTTCCTAAGGCACAGTTCCTATAATGTGGCCCTTGTTACCTCATTCTGGCGTTCGTGGTCTACCTCACCAGGGCCCCAAACCTCCATCTACCTAATTTCCCATTTACTACCTAACATGTTTACTGTTTCAGCTAAACTGGTTTAGCTGCTTTTACCTGAGCATGCTTTTTTCCTACCTGTACTCATGCATAGTTTTTTTTAAAAAGGGCTATGTTGCCTTCTGAAAATAGCTTGTCTTTCCAAATTGAAAAAAAAATGTATGTACAGTTGGTTCTTATTATTCATGGTAGATATGTTCTGTAAAGTTGCTGCAAACACTGAATTAGCAAACACTGAACAATTCCTTCTAGGAGAAATACATATACACATATCTCACATAGATTATAATCCTAAATCCTGAAAGCAACTCATCCTGGCACATTCTTTTTCTTTATTTTATAAAAGAGAAAACGAAGTTCAGAAGTGTTAAGTGACTTGACTAAGGCCACCATACTAACAGATTTCCAGAGTTAGGAATCAAACCCTGCCCAGTTGGCCCCAGAGCCTGAGCTGCTTAGATTGTACTGCAATTTCTGTACCATCTCCATCCTCTGGCCATCTCATTTTAAAATTATTTAAAACAAATGTGGAGAATACCCTGAAATGGTGTTCATCTAAATGCTAACAGTATTCATCTAGTACTTCAAGTGATTTACAATAAATCCTTTTTATTCACAAATTCTGCATTTGTGAATTCACCTAGTTGCTCAAATTTATTTGTAATATTTCAGTATGAGAGCTGAAACAAGAGGGCATAGTGACTTGTTCTCAGCTGTGAACTAAAAATTTTTGCCACTCTCTGCATGTTCATGTATGACCATGAAAGCACATGAGTATTGATTTGAGGATTACAAATAAATTTGAGCAATTAGGCGGATTCACAAATGCAGAATTTGTGAATAAAAAGGATTAATTGTAAATCAACACCTGTTAGTGTTTAGGTGAACACCATTTCAGTGTATTCACATTTATTTTAAATAATTTTTATGTAAAAACAAATTATATGTAAGTTCTGTATGCTGTGTTGTTTAACTTACTTGGATTTATTTAATAGAATTTCTTGGATAGCTTTCTATTCCTATGTTCATTTTAATACCTGCATTGTATTTCATTGTATGAATATAATATCATTTAACCGAGATCCTTAATGGATATGTTTTATGTCTGTACTATATAAAATATACAAAATATGTATTCATGTATATTATGTATATTATGTACTTTTTAAATTCTTCTTTTCCTCTGATTAGATAAAGATTTCTTAAATTCAGGAACTATTTTATTGTATTTATAGCATCATAATTTTGTTTAGTTTTTGTCACTCAAAACAATTTGAATCTTATGTATTATCTCTCTTCTTTTAGCTCTGGATGAGGGAGATATTGCCTTGCTGAAAACTTATGTAAGTCCTTTCAATATTTACAAAGTATAGATGTCATATATTGAAATAAAAAAGATTTTGGGCTGGGCACAGTGGCTCATGCCTGTAATCCCAGCACTTTGGGAGGTGGGGGGAGGGGGGGGTGAAAGGATTGCCTGAGCCCAGGTGTTCTAGATCAACCTGGGCAACTTGGTGAGACCATGTCTCTACAACAAATCAAAAAATTAGCCAGGTGTGGTGGCTTGTGCCTGTAATTCTAGCTACTTGGAAGGCTGAAGGACTGCCAGAGCCCAGCAGGTCAAGACAGTGGTAGCCGTGATTATACCACTGTACTCCAGTCTGGGCAACAACGTGAGACTCCGCCTAAAAACAAAACAAAACAAAAAAATTTTTTTTGGTATTATCCTTTCAAAATAATTAGAAGAGAATGTCTAGCAGTTTATAGTAATCTTCACTGAAAAAAAGTACTTATCTAAAGTTTCTGTCTAGAATAGAGTATCTAAGCTTATATATTATTTTTATTATTTTTATTTTTGTGAAGAAAGAAAAGATTTATTTAAAAAGAGATCACAACTGGGCTTGGGGGCTCAGCCTGTAATCCTGCGCCTTTGGGAGGCTGAGGTGAGTGGATTCGCCTGAGCCCGCGGGTTCGAGACCCACCTGGGCAACTTGACGAGACCTCATCTCCACAATAAATCAAAAAAATTAGCCGGGCGTGGTAGTGGGCGCCTGTAGTTCCAGCTA